CTGCACTGCAGCAATTCTGTGTCTGTATTTAGTCTTTGACATGAACTGTAGACTTTATAAAGCTCCTCTGAGATGCTCATTCATGACTTGTATTAACTCTCTGCAGCAAAATAAACAGAATACCTGCATTTACTGAAGCCAGCAACACAGAACTGTAGAGAGGCTTCAGATAAAGCGCAGAGCGGACACACAGCGTGATGCTGCGTCTGTCACCAGCTGATGGTGGTGGTGTTATAGTCAGTGTGTTCTGATGGACTGGACGCTCCTGTTGGAGGAGAACATGTGTGTGTGTTGTGAATAATGGTGGTGTGATTATGAAGCATGTGCAGTGTTGTGTTAGACATGCTGTATTGTGTGTTTATTACTGTATTCTGAACATTAGTGTTGGGCTTTAGTTTACAGGGTGGGATTTCGAGCGTGAAGTTTACCGTTTGCCAGTTGTGTGTTGTAGGTGTGTTGCTGCGTTTAGAGTTTAGGAAACATGTTAAATGTGTTGAATGTGTCATTCTGTCACTTATTCATACTCTTATTTATCTATCTATTTTATTTATCTTATCTTTCCCAGAGAAGGGCTGTGTAAAAACGTGCTGGATAAGTTGGCGGTTCATTCCGCTGTGGCGACCCCAGATTAATAAAAGGACTAAGCCGACAAGAAAATGAATGAATGAGTTTATCTTCTCTATTTTATTTTATTCTCTAGATTTTTTCTATTAGTGCACCGTCCCGTGTCATGTAGTGAACTGATGTTGTTTGATGTTTGGTGTTGGTTCTGGAGGAACAGTGTTCTGTTTACAGTGTTCTGCACTTGTTGTTGAAATGACAATATACACACCATCTTGACTTGATGACATAGCGGTAGTAAAAAAGGGAGATTCAGCTAAAAATAAAACTGCTGTCATCGTTCCCTCGCTCTGGTCTTGTTTTTAAAACAGTTTATTTATTAAATATAAAAAATATTTAAAAATATTTATTTATAAAAGATATTTTGAAGGAATCTGGAAATGTTTTGCTTTATGGAACAAAGTGTGTTTTCCTCCTGTGAGCTCCAGCTTTCTTCAGGACATCCTCTTTAGTCTCCAGCAGGAGAGGGAAAGGTTTAACTTCGCGAGGGAGAGAGGATAGGGAGTAAACTGTGACCCTGGGTGAGGTGTGAGTGTGTGCATGTTGTTCACCTGTGCTCCTCCTCCGTGTGCCGCTGCAGTGCGCTGTGTGTCCGGCAGGTGGAGCCGCAGCGCGGGCGATGGTAGAGCAGGCGGAGCTCAGCACGGCATCAGTGCTGGAATCAGTCCTTATGGAAACATCACAAACCAGCACACGAAGCATTATCCAGTCCTCACACTAGCTCTGCGCAGATAATACACACCAGCAGCAGCAGATATGTGTGTGTGTGTTAGCGCTGCTGCTGTTTACCTCAGAGAAAACAAACCGGTGAGCGTGTTTCCACGGAAACCGAGCTCAGTGTCGTGACGGCGGGAAAAAAGCCCCGGCGGGAAAGCGCAGGATCAACAGCCAGAGTTTATTAATCAGCAAATAACAACATCTGTACAACATCTGTACAACATCTGTCACATCTCTATATCAAAATAATATATCTATCATGAAGAAATACTGCTGTATCACACACACACACACACACACACGGTGCAGTTGTGAGAGTCTGTCAGGAGAATTACAGCACGATGGCGAATACACAACAGGAGGACATTGTGCTTATTAACATCATATTCAGATGAGGACAGAGTCGATCATTTCTCTTTAACACATCTCCATATTACAGTACAACACCAAGAACACCACACAGATATATGACATCATCACTGTGTCTGAACATCCTCATCCTCATCATCCTCATCACTGCGGTGCTGATGAGAGTCTGGCTGATGACTGACCGCTGAGAAACTAACAACAGCACTGATAATGGACCAGCACGAGGAATAAATCAATAATAAATCAGTGAGAACAGTTAATCTCGCTCATATTTACATATTTATCTGAATGAGCTGAACCCTCATTTCCAGACGCCTCCTGGAACATCATCAGTCCTCTAACAAAACCACACACACACACCAGCAGCAGCAGGTAACACACCTGTTGAACACGGCGGGTGAACTGAACATCTAAAGGCAATACAGCAGCGAATACCCTGAACTACTGTACTGACCAGATGAGCTGAAGTGATGAACACGGAGAACACACACTCACATTAGCTGTGTGTGTGTGTGTGTGTGTGTGTGTGTATACTGCTCTCCTCAGCTCTCTGACTGTGCTGTGCTGGAGCTGCTGCAGGGGGATCACTACTAAGGGTTAGGGTTACCCTAACTCTCTCTCTCTCACACACACACACACACACACACACACACAAACACACACACACACACATACTCACACACACACACATACTCACACACACACACACACACACTTAAAGACACAAATACACATTCACAAGACAGCCACAAACACACACATTGACACATCAACACTGACACAAAGATACACATGAACACACACACATAAAGAGCACACACACACACACACACACACACACACACACACACACACACACACACACACACACACACACACACATTATTTTGGTGACATTTTTTCTTATTGTAGAGCATAGAATGACAAATGGTCTTTTTTCAGATGTGATTACATTGCTTTTAGATATCACATTATTAATATAAAAAATTCAGAAGTTAAGAAAGCAATATGAAATAACTTT